CTCCAGCAGCCACTGGGGACAGGATCTGACCTAGCACAAAACTCCACTTCTATGGGCAGTGCACACATATTTCTGGGAGGAGAGGATTTTGCCTGCTAACAGTTTTCATGGGCAGGGATAGTCTGAAGCCTGTGAAAATGTCTGTTTTACTTCAACTCCCTCAAAGTGTCCTATTAAGTCATTAGTTGTACTTCTGGCTTATTTATCTAGCACAGGTGGGTTATGACATCAATCTCATCGCCACTAGCAACAGCTCTCGCCCAGCCCTGAATCTTCAGTGACCCTCGAATACATGCGATCTGTTCCAGCTCTGTGTTTGACACAGCACAGATCCAACAAGGCTTTCACAGGGCCACTCCGCACATCCCACAGGCCTTCCTCAGCACTGCCACAGCAGAGCTCCCGACGAGGCATCATCACCAGATTTAACGAGAGTGCACCTTGTGGGGCACTCTACACATCACACAGCACTTCCTTACACATTATCTCACCTGATCGCACAACACCCCTCTAAGAGCAAGGATTAGATCTTCATTTTGCAAAAAAGGGAATGAAGTGAGGCGTCCAGCACCACCAGGGCTCTTCTGCCAGGCAGGCCAGTGTCCCCAGGACACTCTCACTACCACTCCTCTCTCCGGTGTCTTCACTTTTCTCCTCTTAACGGTCCTGTTTATAAATGTGGGGACTGACACACACAGGACTGTTAAGTGCTAGCTGCGGAGATGCTCAGTACTGGACTTAGCTCAGTGCATCTCTCACATTCTCCGAGAGCAAGGACTAATTTTCTCAATTATGTATCTATCAGATACTTATTCTGGCCTAGACACTCGAAGGTGAAAAGGAGACGCATATGCTGTCTGTGAAGTCTTTGAGTTAATGGGGAGCACGGATGACAAAGAAGCAAGCAAACCATTTCAGCAGATTGTGCTAACTTTCAAGGAAACAAGCAGGGGACGGTGACCGCAAAGGGAGGTGGACCGGAACACTATTTACACAGGTGCCTAGGGAAGGACTGGCCGAGCAGGTGACTTAAGCCCAGAATCAGAAGAATGCAAGAGTAGCTAGAAGAGTGAGAAGAGCCTTAGACACAGTGGACAGCGTTTCCTAAGAAACAATCTCTGATTAGGCAAATTTCCTACCTGTGGGTCATAAACAAGAGTTTTTGGGCAATGTCTTATAACCCATAGCATTCTATTGTTTCCGAGTTGAAAGGGACTCTGTCTTATGTAGCCCAAGTTCCCTCATGTCACACATATGTTCACCGAGGCCTGGAGTGTGGTCTGCGTGTGACATCAATATGTGGCACAGGGAACTGGACCTGAGGACCGATGAAAACCCCATGTCTCCGAATCTGTCTTCCTCTCACCTTCTAAATCCGAATCCCACACATTTTTTATTTTTGCCTTAACATTAATTCTGTTAAGTTAGTGACTTACAGTCAGGACCTTGAAGCTCACCGGTTTTATCTACCTTTACAAGTGAGTGTCTCTACTGTGTGAACAATGCCAGAATCCCACAACTGCACTGTGTTTACTAGTGAGGTGGTTATTCATTAGCTTTTACACAGCATCACCAGACACTTGCAAAGGATGCTAAGTGTGTCCTGAGGATGTGGTAACAGTTCCTATTTATTCAGAATAATAGCAACTGCTTCTCTGGTAGAGGGAGCCTGCAACATTCAGGAATTATCCTGGGCACCACCTTTTCCCTCCTCTGCTCAGCTTTCTAAAGCAACCTGATGGTATGTTGACAATCAGGTCAGTTTCAAGCAAGTTAGATTGTACCTGTAATTTAGGCAACTTGCTTTTAAAAGCTACCATTAGTATGAGCTGAAAGGAAGTATTATCTAGTTCAACTTGAGAAGCAGCAGTGAGGAGTTATTTTCATACAAAAACTCAAAAGACTACAACATAATTACACTTCACAGAAGGTAACCAGAACCTATTGTGTACTCAAAAGTAGAGAAAAACAATTTTACCCGTCAAAATTACAAATACTTCAGACATTTCATAACAACCATATAAAACAGATTTACTTTCCAACCCTTATCAGTGACGGGGCCAACTCTGCTGAACCCTAAAATGTAAAACATGCTTTCATGCATTTATTTATCAACATCAGCTATGTGCAAGGCTGTGCGAGATAAAAGCTGTACAAGGCAGGGTTCCTGCCCTGAAGGAGTTTGCTGTCCAATATATCTGCCAGGTTATAAATTGATAGCTCAAGACTTCTGTCGCCTGTTAGCAAGCATCCACTAGAACACAGGTGCGTGGGGGTGGGGGGACGACAAGCTCTACAGGAAGTGAGGAGAAGGACAAACAGTGAAATCTGTGTAAAACCTCTACCATTCAGAAGAGGGACGGACTGATGACATACTTAGAATCTATCCCAGTCAGCAGGCTACCAAGAAATCGGCTTCTATTTTGGTCTTTGAAAATTTGGGTTTTTTGCTGATACAGCTACCTAGGCTGTCTTTGGTGCCTGTAAGTAAAATTTCTCATAAAACTGTATAATGGGGCTGGGGATTTAGCTCCGTGGTTCTGCAGCCTGCCTCGCAGGCACAAGGTCCTGAGTTTGATCCCCGGTACCAACAAAACAAAACTGTATAATTACAGAAATGCAAAGAAATACATTTTAAAAAGTCAAGACTCAGTATAGCGAATCCAGACGTTTCAGTCTCAACAAATGTAAACCCACTGCATCCTTACAGATTCATATAAGCTTGAAACTCTGCAGAACATTTGTTCTCGAGGAGAAAAAAAAAAAAAAAAGCATTTTAAACCTCACCTTTCTTCACCCCTGACAGTTGCCTAGAAACCAGTCCTGCCCTACCTGTGGTACAGGTGTACCTCAAGTCACCAACACATCTCTTTTAAAGCTACAGCCTCTCTTCTGACTGCGCTTAAGTTTATGACTAACAATCTATTCACATTTTTATCAGGTAAGAGACTGGTTTCTTTCAAGCAATGATGAAATCCTAATAAAGACCTACCAAGCACCAATACAGCCACAATCACGGTTAAGGAATCAGCTCGTCTGTACAAGGCTACCTCAGACATAAACACACGAAACTCCCAACAGGCATTCACGTTCTGAGCGCCGAACTCCGCAGTTCCGTTCCTTTTCCAGTAGTAAGGACATACAGAGAAAGGAACCACGTTTCCAGACAGGAAGGAAAAGACGCGGATCAACCGGGACGAATGCAAGAGCACAGATCTAGGAAATGCCCGGGCCGCCGAGCAAGGAGGGCCCGGCCGTGTCTGAGCGCCGGTGCCGAGCGCGGATGAGTCCCCCGCGCAGCCTCCCAACGAGCCGGGTAGGACGAAGGCTGACGC